AAATTTTGGAAGAAGAAATTCTACCTAACTAGAGTTGTATATGCGCAACTATGGATCATTCACCAAAGCTCTATCTAATCTACACCATATCCTTGAATTTGAGTCTTGTTTGTTATTCCAAGTGTAGAAACACCCTATAGAATTTAGGTGGTTGAGATTATAATCAAAGATGAAGTCTCTGAAATCATTTAAATCAGTCTCAGTGAGCACTGAACCTCCAAGTTTCTCTTCATTACTAATAACAGAGTTAAAATCTCCACACAAAGAGCCAAGGTGTGATTCCAGAAGATTGATGAATGAGATTTAATTCTGACCATAGATCCTTCCTAGCTTCTAGTTGATTTAACCCATAAACTGAAGAAATAATACTTATCTTCCATCCAAGGATTTAACAGTACATGTGATGTGTTGTGCTGATGAACTAACAATGTTAATTTCCAGAATGTTGGGATTCCACAAGATCAAAATTCTGGCTTTTCTAGCATGATCAGCATTTGATATCCAGCTCTAGGAACTTGCAAGTTTCCTAACAGTAATAGGCAATTTACTATCATTTATTTTTGTTTCCAGTAAAGCTATGTAGGAGAGATGGTACTGAGAAATGAAATGCTTCACCAAATATTGCTTAGAGGATTTGTTCAATCCCCTAACATTCCAAAATGACAAGTTCATTTTAAAAACATACCCCCTCTATCAATTGTAGAGGGATCAGAGACCAAAGTATCCAGGTGAGAGAAAGAGTTGCTGATAGATGTGATAGGTTGTTTTTGATTCCTTCTTTGAATTTGAACCCATGAGCTATCCTCTATAAGGAAGCTTTTATCTGTCCCTGACTTCTGGACAAGCACAACATGCACAGACCCAAAAAAAATTTACCACCTCTAGTATTCTGGGTTTTATCACCTTTATCTGGTTTATATCCAGATTTATGCTGATCATTTGCCTTTAAGTTTTGCCTAGACTACTGACTATGCATAGCATGCATAACTCTAGTATCTACATTCATGATACCTGACTGAGATGTGTCAAATAAAACTTCATTTTGAGCCTGCTGAGCACACACAACATGTACATGCTCCAGTTCAAAATCACCCCTTCCATCTATATTCTGATTAATCATCTCCACTTCTTCCTCAACAGTGTTAGGGACATCATGCATACTACTCATTTGAGCAACATTTCCAGCAACAACTTTTTGCTTAGGAATCCATTTTTGGACCTTAGGATGTTTTTTACAAAAAATTGTATCATGTCCTACAAATTTACACCAATCACACCATCTAGGTTTAAATTCATAGTACACCATTTGATTATATGATTTTCCACTTGGCCCTTGTATGATGATATGATCAGGAAGAGGTGAGGGCATTTTAACCTCTACCAAGACTCTAGCATATGCCAAACATTGCTTATTTGTAGTAAGCTTGTCTGTAGCAATGGGTCTCCGAATAACACTGGTAATTTTGCTTATACTTTTATAATTCCACAAGTTTAGCCTCAATGCTGGTAATTATATCCACAGAGGATATATACATTCTTCAATTTTGCCTATGTCCTCACCTATAGACCATGGTTTCAGAAGAATAGGTCTAGAACCAAAGAACCAGGGACCCTTGCCTAAAATATCATTTATTTCTTCTTTACTTTTGAATTTGAATAAGAATAAACATGTCTTTATGAAACAAACTTCAGGAATAGGAGACCAAACCTTCTGGACATAGCTCTCCATTGCTTTGAATCTGACATTTAATCCTAAGACTTGACCAATTAGAGAGAATTTTCACATTGAAACTCCATCATTCCACTCATCCTCATTGAATGTAACTGCATCCTTGGCCTCAGAAGGCACATAATCCAGTGTCATTCCACTTCCTAGCTTTCTATTATCAGCAAATAAGCTAATCAAACTTTTAGTAGGATTTTTTCATTTAAAACATCATGTTTCTCAACAGAAGATTTCTCAATACAAGAATTAGACACAGAAACTGGATCTGAATTCAAATTACTAGAGATAGAATTCAATGGAATAGTGTTCGTTTCTGAACCAGACACGTGAAATGAATCTGAAGACAAATTTCTAGCTAAATCATTTGTAAAATGCTTTCGAGATAAAGAATTTGCCAGATTATCCACCAGCTCAACTTCATCAGCCCAAGATCCACCACTAGAACAACCAGCTGAGTCATATCAAGAAGAATTGTTGGACATGGAAGAAAGAGCAAGCTGGGAATAAAGATGAAAAGAAAGATGAGAAGAAGAAAACAAATAGTGATACTACAACTACTTTGTCTGAGATCGATGTTATTCTCATCTTCAGGGAAGAAGACTGTATGCATGTTATAAGTCAGAATTCTGAGTGGATAGTGGATACAGGAGCTACATGTCATGCTACCTCCAATCAGGACGATATAAAGCAGGTGATTTTGGCAATGTGAAGATGAGCAATACTAGCTACTCGATAATTGTAGGATTTGGTGACATAACTTGTAGACAGATACCATATGCACATTGATTTTTAAAATATTTGTGACATGTTCTCAATTTGCAGCTCAACTTGATTTCGGGTCTTACTTTGGACCAAATGGGATAGAAAATTCAATTTGGCAGGGGAAAATGTAAAATCACCAAATGCTCTCTTGTGGTGGCTAGAAAAAGTATATGTTACAATTTATATAAGACTCAAGCAAAGTCTTCATATGATTCTTTGAGCGTGGCTCAAGACGTTGATACTCTCAGTTTGTGGCATAGGAGGCTTGGGCACATGAACGAGAAGGGGTTGCAGGTATTGGCAAAGAAGTCTCTCATTTCCTTTGCTAAAGGTTCGTCACTCACCTCTTATGATTATTGTTTGTTTGGCAAACAACATAGAATTTCATATAGTAAGCCTTCTAAAAGAAAAGATAATATTCTGGATTTGATTTATTCTGATGTTTGTGGTCCTATCGAGGTGGAGTTCTTGGGTGGTAATAAATTAATATTTTATCACATTTATTGATGATGCATCACGATAGATGTGGGTCTTCTTATTGAGAATAAAGGATCAGGTGTTTTCAGTCTTCCATTAGTTTCATGCCATGATGGAGAGGCAGACAGAAGAAGTTGAAGTGTTTGCGCTCTGATAATGGAGGAGAGTACACTTCCATTGAGTTTAGTGATTATTGCTAGGTATAGTGTTCAGCATCAGAGGACAGAGCTCGGCACACTGCAGCATAATGTAGTTACAAATAGGTACAATATGATCATTGTGGAGAAAGTCAAATACATGTTGAAGATGATGAAGTTACCTAAGAGCTTTTGGGCTGAAGCTGTTCACACTGCATGCTACATAATCAATAGGTCTCCTTCAGTTCCCTTGGTTCCTTTGGATTTTATATTTCGGAGAGGGTTTGGTCTAGAAAAGATATTTTCTACTCTCATTTGAAGGTGTTTGGTTGCAAGACGTTTGCACACATTCCAAAGGAGAAGAGACACAATCTTGGTTCCTTGCATCTTCCTTGGTTATGGAAAAGATGAATTCGGCTACAAGCTATGGGATCCAGAAAAAGATGAATTATCTGACGAGCAAATGTGATTTTTCAGGAGGACCAGGCTATTGCAGATCTCTGGAGAGCAGAGCAGTCAGAGAGTGTGCTAGTGAAATTCTAGATATGACACCCGTTTCGTCTCCAGTACAATTGCATCATACAGATAAAAAGAAAGTGCATGATGATGGTATTGATGATGACGGTTAGATACCAGAGCAGGGAGACCGTGATCAGGATCACGAGTAGGAGGCTCCTGAGCAAGGGAAGCATCACCAGCAGCAGGAGATTGTAGAGCCACAGCTTAGGAGATCAGGTAGAGAGCATAGACAATCCATGAAATATTCTCTCTCGGAGTATTTTTTGCTGACAGAAGAGAGGGAGCAGGAGAGCTTTCACGAGGCATGAACTCATAAAGACAATGACAAATGGTTTCAGGCTATGCAGGAAGAGATGAGGTCTCTTCAGAATAATGATCTCGTCTCTTCAGAATAACGATACTTATGAGTTAGTGGATTTACCGAAGGACAGAAAAGTTTTGAAGAACAAGTGAGTGTTCAGGTTGAAGAAGGATGACTACAAAGTGATTCACAAATACAACGCTAGATTAGTGGTGAAAGGCTTTGGTCAGAAAAAGGGCATTGATTTTGATGAGATTTTCTCGCCAGTTGTGAAGATGACATCCATTAAAGTTATCTTGGGGTTAGTAGCTAGTTTAGATCTCGAGATTGAGCAGCTTGATGTAAAGACTGCATTTCTTCATGGTGATTTGGAAGAGGAGATCTATATGAAGCAGCCGTAGAGTTTTGAAGTGAAGGGATAAGAATACATTGTATGCAGGTTGAAAAAGAGCCTCTATGGTTTGAAGCAGGCACCTAGATAGTGATACAAGAAATTTAACTATTTCATATTGAGTCATGGTTACCAGAGGACAGTTGCATATTCTTGTGTATGTTTCAGGAGCTTTTCAGATTCATTATCCTTTCACTTTATGTGGACGATATGTTAATTGTTGGTCAGGATAGTCAAATAATCGGTGGGCTGAAGAATGAGTTATTTAAATCTGCTGACATGAAGGATTTGGGCTCGACACAACGAATTTTTAGTAATGATATTGCATGTGATAGGAAAACCAGGAAGTTGTGGTTATTATAGGAGAAATATGTTGAACAGTTGTTTGATAGATTCAACATAAAAGATGTCAAGTCAATTAGTACTTCTCTTGTAGGTCATTTGAAGCTTAGCAAGAAGTTTTGTCCGATTACAGATGATGAAAAGAGTGAGATGAAGAATATTCCTTACAATGTAAGAGCACCTCAAAAAGGCAACGATCTTGATGTTGAAATGCCAATACAAGAACAAATAAAAAAGCCCTGTTATGCACCATTTCCACAAACACAAACGCAGAGGCACACGCACATTGAACTTGCTCAAAGCAAACCCCATATCGTGAACAAATACAACGACAACCAAGTTAGCATGGAAAGACAAGATCATATAACTGCACAACTGACATCACACGTATCCATCATCTTACTCTCGAATACACTGAATATCTTAAGTACATGCCAAACGGATGTGCCCCTATCCAATATGCACAAACTTACTTACGTATAAAATATACACCTCAACACATTAACGTTTACAGTCTAAACCCATTTAGCATACAGTAGAAAACCCTTCTATGTCCTCGTAACAAATAGATTCACAACTGTTAGCCACCATTCACAGGCTTAAGTTAACCTATGAATACCACTCTCTATAAGTGTGGCAGTAACCAGCCGAGGGACCAACCTAGGAGCAAGCCAGCACCAGCAAGGCCTAAGCCAACAGCAAAAGCTACAGCATACTTACAAAAGCTACAATTCTTATGTTTCTTTCTTTTACTCTTAGTCCCATCCCCTTTATGTGGCATAAAAGGAAGAACAGGAAACAGCGTTGAGATCTGATGTTCTTTGATCCTGAGCTGGAGACAGAGGCTCTCTAGCTGTAGCATCCGGAGCCATTGCTTGTATGCAAAGAGATGTGATGCTTGCTTGAAGAAGAGTTTGAAGATGTGCTCCTTCTCACTGTAAGCTTTCTGTGCTGCTATCTCGGCTTCCCTCGCTCGTGTTTGGGAATGACGGAGAGCTTCCAATAGCTCAGCTCTGCTCGAATTGGTATCCGAGGTCTGGCTGTTTTCTGGTATATCATTAGCTGAAGGAGCAAAACTCTGGTTCCCACTACACATAGTTTCATGTAAGCAATTGAAGGGAGAGGATTGACAACAAATTTATGGATGAGTAATTATAGAACACTTTGAAATGCAAAAGATGGTAGCAGAGGCCTTAGCACACAAACACAAGTCAAATAATCATAACCCAAGAAAGGCCATGGTGTCTAATAACCAATTTACGACAAACAGAGTATTAAGTGTATGACAGTAGACTATTCAAACTTCAGTCACTAGACATTTATTAGGTAATGAATGCAGGGATTATGAATTATGAAAAATATCTAACTTAAACATGGAATACCATGTAGCTGGTGGTATATGGCTTCAACATTTTAGATTAGCAATGCACATTGCTTAGATGTCAACACTTAATAAAAGCAACCCTATGTTACTTTGTTCTAGATAATTATCATATTAAACAATAAACAAGAAAAGATATTGCTTCCTAGCTGCAGAAGAGGATTTGAAAGAATATCAAGAGGTAAGAGAAGACAAATGTTAAAACTATGAATGCAAGGACACTGCAGATCTAAAATTCAAACAGTTGCAGTTCTCTTAGGAAGTCATTATCCTGGCTCGACCAAATTTCCGAAGCAAACAACTTTGATTGACATGATAATCAATGTTAACCAACAACATGTTACTCACATGATATAAATTACATTAATAGTGACACTGCTCCGGTCTATGCTACCTGATAATAATTTGAATCTTATAAACCAACCAGGCCATAGCGACTACTTGAATTATTAAGTAAACGAATATGAGCACTATTTCTTCAGCTCTAATCAGAGTTAAGTATTTGATGAAATGTTACCTTTCAACTTTTAGCTCTCATGACTCAAAACACAAAAAGAGGAGACTTATACACCTAAATCATGCCCAAGTCCCAAAAATAAGGACAATACCAAAGTAACTATCTTAAGTGTACTACATATTCGATGAGTACCTGTACAGTTTCTCGCTATCTGAAGGAAAATGACTTCCATCACTGGACTGACACTTTCCATCGCTGCTCCCGGTGATAGAACTATGTTGGGGATAATCATTCGGATAAGATGAACTAGAATTTAACTTGTAACCTACTGATGAGGAGAAAATCCTGTTACCATCCAAACTCTCAAGACAAGCAAAAGGGTCCCCACTTACATGCACTGTTTGAGTGGGCTTGGGAAGATCACAGTTCTCAATCTGTTCTAGTGACTTTTGGGCAACCAAAGAAGCCAATTCATCTTGATCAGAAATACGCCACCATGGCTCACACTTGTGACCTGCCCAAGGTGAGTCCAAATCTTTACCAAATCCTTCTGTCTTTTTGGGTATTAACCTGTCAACTGGCTTCCAATCCATGAATTCCCAATCCTGAAAAAGATAATCCTCTGAATCAACTTTTCGCTCGAGCGGCTGTTGCGATATATTACTTACTGTCTTCATTTCATCAACTCTTGTTTTAGAATCCTTCTTCATAAAAGCTGTTGAAACCATCCCAGGTGACTCTGAAGGATAATCATCGTTATTATGATCTAGCCTCTTGTCGCTGAGTGTAGAAGTGGGCACCACATGTTCATATCCCTTCTCTTCGAGCTCATCTTCCAAGACATTCAGCTCTGTTGTGAAATCTTTTTGGCAACCAAAGCTAGTTTGCAGCTGGAGCCACCATCTTGTGTCCGGTGGTAGATTGGAGTTCATGGGATTCCAGTTCAAAGGCATAAAATTGTGGGTGGGCTGTTCTTGTCCATTTGCTACATTGCCGTTGCAAGAATCATATTGCTGAGCAGATGATGATGAAGGGCAACATGCCAACTTTGGAGCTCTCTTAGCATCTTCCTGGACCCAGCAACGGTTTGCAGTACGCCAAGCTGCCCTGGCTTCTGCTGCTGCCATTAACTTCTCATTGTCCAAAATCCTTCTATAGAACCGCACTCAACTGTCATTTATGTTACAAGTATTGTGTTAAAAATAAAAGAAAGAAGACAAAAGCACAAGATAAGTAGGATATGTAAACACAACAAATCTTATATATGCAAGTCTAAAATATGAAGACTGTGAAATAATACATATTTATTCCAAATAAACAATAATACACATTTATTCCAAATAATCATAGACAGCAAGAACTTTTGACTAGTAGAAAATGAACATCTGCATCCAAAAAAATACCAGAAGAAATTCATACTTTTATGTACCTAAATAGTTCTCAATGATGTTATCGAAGATGAAATTATTCTAGCTGACTAAAGTGGAAAATGCATTCATCTGTTTCCATTATAGCTGTCAATCGTGATAAAACTAAGAAGCTTATATTTTTAGAGCCAAGAACCGAGGATAAATGTCCCTTTTCTTCTCACTCTTGCCTGCAAATAATTTAGCCCTAGAAGTAATTCTCTTCTTCATTTTTTTTTCTCCACCATGCAATCTGAGGTAATTCTTTCTTCGGGCAATGAAGTTTGAACTTATGAAATCAAGAACGGTCAGCAGTTCAAATGTTATTTATAGATATTGATGCCTCAAGGACAAGGAGGAAGAACACAAAACTTCAACTGACAAATACCAATGACTACTTGTAGCTGGAAAAATAGGAAGAGAGTTAAGTTTGAACTTTTAGGTCCTAAGGAGGAAGAATAAATAGTAATAGTAACTCTTCTCCAAGTCCACAGGATTTAATCATGATATAGTTTAACCGTCCTCGACAGTCGCAACGCCCTGATCTGTAAAGATCAACTAGTTATCTCCATCATGTAATAGTGACCAACAGAGTACCTTTCAGTTAATATTGATGGCAACTCGAGGCTTCCTTGCAATATATGCGTACTGTTTGAAACTATGGCATTCATTTAAGGATTTTCTAGTACTTGCAACATTGGCTTGCAGGAGGCGGTTTCAAAAACCTAGAGTTATCATTTTTTTTTTCTTGCTATGACAGCTTTTACTATACTAGTATAATGCATGTGCTTTGCACGTGGATATGTTTTTGTATTTAATATTATATTATTTAATAAATTATATATAACCGTTAAAATTTATTTGATTTCACTATGATTAAAAATTTTAACTTATACTAATTAGTACTTATACTATTATTAACATACATTTAATAGTTATTTAAAATTTTCTATTCTTATATTATTAAACAATTTATTTAGGAGTATAATTATTAAATAATAATGTAATCATTAGTTTAAGTAACACTATTGATATAATTAAACCATTTAAATTATTAAATATTTATGTCATGTACATATTTTAATACAATATCTATTGAATAATGGCAATAATTTTTAATATTATATGACTTTAGTTGAAAAGAATATTACCTTGTTCGATAATTAATATCGTCTTAGTAATAAAAAATTGGATGGTATAAATTAAAAATACTATTTTTTAGAAAAAATAATTTATATAAAAATATTGGATCCTTCAAATATATGAGACATTTACTTTCCAACAAAAAGTGCATGACTCATAAATTTCAAATATCCAATATTTCATTGCACTATTATTAATAATTCGAATTATATACAATATTTTATTAAATAAATAATTTTACTATTTCATTATAATTAATAATTATTTTATAATAAATTATAATATATTTATTAATTTTGTTATCATTATAAATTATTAGTATATTCTAGCGAGTGGCCAAATATTTTGAAGAAAAGAAGAGAAAAGTATATATCTCATAAATTTCAAGGATCCAAATTTTTTTATATAAATTAATTTTCTAAAATAAAAGTATTTTTAACTTATAATATCCAAATTTTTATTACTAAGATGATATTAATTATCGAACAAGGTAATATTCTTTACAACATAAAGAAATAACCATATTTATACTATTATTAATAATTATAATTATGTGCAATAATTTATTAAATGAATGACTTTTACTATTTTCTATAATTAATAATTCTTTATAATAAATTATCACATATTCATGAATTTTGTTAAAATTATAAATTATTAATATATTCTAGCAAATGACCAAATAATTTGAGAAAATAAAAATGTGCATAGTTAATGAGAGGTTATGGATCATTAGTTTTATAATTAATGGTATAATTTTGATTATAAAAATTGAGGGGGTAAAAAAGGAAATCAAAAGTTTTAACATGGGTATTCTCTTTTACAAGTAGTATAGATTGATATTTGCTTTCTTTAAGTAATTGAAATCTGATTAACTTTGGTGCCTTATGCATTTGAACTCTGGGCCTTGTTCATCCAATTAAGACTGCAGTCTGATTCAATTCACGCGAAATGGTGAATTGGCTTTGAGATGAGGGTTAAAGGATTAGCGAGAAAATTATGCAAAACAGTATTGTAATTTAATCAAGTTACTAAAGTCCAATTTTGATAGCCTTTGTTTGATATGTTGAAATAAAATCTTCAGTTGAGTCAATAAAACTAGTATAACTGAGAAAACCATAACCTAACTGTTAAATTGTTGCATGCAATTCTTGAGATAGAAACGAAAGAAAAAAAAAGAGAAATTTAAAAACCATAGAAAGAAGAATGTTACAGCTATCAAGTCTTTGACCTACCACTGGATCAATGGGCAACACAAAACTCCATGTTTATTTTCACATGCTTTTGAGGAATGAAAATCTTCACTTTTCTCATCCTTCCCACTTTTTTTATGATGCATTATGATTTAAAAGAGGATTTCTTCACTATACATATACTGAAAATGCTATAGCACTACTTTATGTTTTGACTTGAAATTTTGTAGATAAACCCTCCAAAATCTGAAGTTCCCCAAATTCATGAAGAACTGCTTAGCAAAAAGATTTAGACATGCAGGCTCCAACAAGTACACAGCAGCTATCATAAGAAAGGGAAAATGGCCAAATATTTTTTTCAAGCAGGGAATATTGAAACAACCCCTAAAAAATGTTTGCAAGCCTAGTATACATACAATCGGGCATTGATATCCCAAAGAAATTAGAGGCCTTTTCCTATCTTCGTCGTTACATGAGGCAAATTCAGTAGCAACAACAAACCTTTGTCCGAAGCATTTTTATGATAAACAGTCGTGTATAAATTGATAAATATAACCATGAATATAAAATTTCTTAAAGAACACCGCACGGTCCCAAAAATTAACAAGCAGACGGAACAAAACTTTTAATTCCAAAATAAATAAAAAAAGAAAACAAACGAATAATGGCACCGGACTAGATTTCAGTAGCTTCCTCATAACACCATTTAAATGTAATCACCCATCACAAATCAAACGTTATTCTTTACATCCTTTCATGGAAATCAAATATCATCCTCTACAACTTTCACAGTAAATTTCTTCAATATTAAATTGCTACCTTATAAGATTAAAAATTTTAGCAGAACCCAAAGGCAACTATTCCAAAGAGGTAAGATCTAACACCAAGAGTTGACGAAATCAAAATTACCCAAAATCAAGGTCAAATCCAATTACTAGAACAATTAACCACAGCATCAAAATTCCACAAGAACAGAAGTATTGGACTGTAAAAACCTTAC